CCAGTTCCATCCTGTTGGATGCTGGGTGGGTCCTTGTGGCTGCCGTGCTGCCTCCCCGAGCTGGGGCTGATGACTGGGCTGATACGATGTACACCGCGGATATTCCTTTCCAGGGAACAGAGTGCTGGCCAGGCCGTTGCCATCCTCCTCTGGGAGGCGAGCCAGCTGAGCTCCAGGGCCCGTACTCAGCCCACAGAGCTCAAGTCCCGGATACCCAGACCTCTGCCACCTCTCCGAGAGGTCAGACTCAGGCGTTGACCAACCCGAGGGAAGGGGCGTGGCAGTGCTACCAGCAGCAACAAGTGCAACAGCTAGCACTCAGCACAGCTGTGGCCCGGTTCTGTTCTTTTTTTAAATTTAATTTAATTTTATTTATTTATTCATTTATTTTAATTTGACCAGAGAGAGACAGAGAGAGAGGGGGAAAGTGAGAAAGCAAACCACCAGGTCCAGGACTCAAACCATGGTCGGCCATGTGGGTGTGTCCAGCACCTTAACCATCACGCCACCTGCTGGTCCCTGAAGGAGAGTGAGACAGCAAGCTGCCAGGTTCAGGACTCAAACCGTGGTTGGCCGTGTGGGAGTCCAGAGCTCTTAACCTCTACACCACCTGCCGGCCCCCCGGTTCTGTTCTTAAAGCTCATGTTTACTTCATGTTCACGACTGACCTGTAAGGTAGGGATTTGTCCCCATTTTCTGAGTGGAGAAACTGAGGCCGGAGAGGTTGAAGAACTTGCTCAAGGTGGTAGCACAGCAGTCAGGCTCTTCTGCATTCCCTCTGCCTCTCAGCCCTGCTGGGAGCAAAGGACAGGGAGATGGTGGGGGACTAAGGCACAGATGGCAACATGGGGCAGGGTTGTCATTCCTATGACATCAGCTTGCTGTGATACTGAAGGGAGCAGGCCCAGAAACCTGACCACCAGTGTTCGAATCCTGGTGCCACTGCTTTCTGGTTTTGTACCTTGGGGCAAGTGGCTTTAGCTCGTCATGCCTCAGTTTTCTCATGTATAAGAGTGGCACCACCTTAACCCCATCTCAGAGGTCATCGTGGGAGGTATGTAAAGTGCTTGGAGAGCAGACGGAAAGTGCCCAGCTTGAGCCCGCAGATCTGAAGAGCCTGCTCCGAGATCCCCAGAGTCATGCCCAAGTCATCCCTTCCTGGCACTGGGCACCGAGAAGGGAGGAGCAGGCAGCCTGTACAGACGTTGTTCAAGTCCCCCCTCCCCAGATGAGATCCTCCTACAGCAAGAAACCACGCTGTGCCCACCCTTCCCTGACACCTCGGCCAACGCTGACACTGATGGGTGGGCATGCTGGAGTGCCCGGGGCAGACGGCCGCCTCGTCCAGGCTGTGCTTGCTGACCACCTGGCTCCATACCCCCCCTCCCCCGGATTTTGAAGGCAGAGCATGTAGATAGAGGAGCCCTGGGTTTGAATCCTGGCTGCATCACACAGTAGTTCCAATGTGTGACTACTCACTTTGTGACTTCTGCATGGGGACATAACCTCACTCCCCGGCCCCACTCCCCCGGCACCATGAAGACTATAGGAAAGCACATGTGGGAAGCTCCCAGAACATGATGGGTATTGCATGGATGTCAGTCTTCCAGCCTCAGGAAGGACGCTGGGTGTCCACGGACTAAATAAGGCCAGAGTCAGAGGGAGAGGTGTGGACAGGGACCATGTGCACATTTGCAGATTCAGTCTTCAGTCACTCACAGAGTGCACAGATGCGCCCACATCTAGCGCTGCTCAGCCCTGGCTCCCTGCCCCTCCCCAGGGGTGCGAATGCACCAGCCTGGGCACTCTGACATCCATGCCCGTGGCCCCATACTGGCGCCTGTGTCCTCCTCGTCCTCATGTGCACACTGTCCCGAGCACATCTGTTAGCTGCCTGCTTTGCTCCCTCATGAGCCTGGGCCTCGTTTTCCAACCTGCTGCTGGAACATTCTGAAAGCCTTTCATTCCTCCACCAGCTCTTTCTAGCTGCCGGGCAGGGCAGTCCTTGAGGCTTGGCATTGCCTTCTCGCATTTGAATATGTCACGGCCACCAAGTCCTTAGGGACCCAGGATTAGCCTAATGGGAGGCAGTTTGGCAGCTTACGCAGAAGCAGTCGCCAGGCTGGTGCTGCCATTCCAGGTGCCAGGCTGCTGCTCAACCCACCCCATCTATTCCACCAGCTTCATCGCACGCCCTGTGTGCGTCCCCAGCCCTGGGGAGATGAGGACACACAGGTGACAGAGTCCTCTGCTCCAGAGCTCATTGGCCAGGGCACGCTCGGGCCAGAGCACAATTCCAAATGGGGCATGTGCCATTGTGGGAGATGAATAGTGTGCCCTGGGGTTCAGGGCGAGGAGGTTCTTCCCGAAGCTGGAGCTGCTTGGCTCTCCGACTCTGGAGACCCTGAGCCAGTCGCTGAGTCTTCCGAACCTCAGTTTCCTCGTCTGTGACAAGAATCCTGTATCTGTGTCACACGTTGTTACGAATTTAAGTGAAAGTGCTGTAAGAATGGGGTTGTGATCACTGTGGTAAGATCTGGAAACAGGGAGGGAGGCCGCAGTCCACGTGTCTTCCCCGTCACTCCAGCCAGCACCACACAGTCCTGTTTCAGACGCAGAGCCTTGGTGTGAGTGACACAGCGAGCTGTGGTGGAGATAGGGGGCCTGGTAGCTAGTGCTGGCTTTTTCATCTAATTGACTTATTCAAAAAGCAGTGAGCACCTATTAGGTGCCAGCCATGGGCTCGTGAGGCAGACTCAGGTTGAAATCTTGGCCCCTTGAAGCTGTGTGATCTGGGCAAGTCGCTTGCCCTTTCTGAGCCTTAGTTGGCTCATAACAGGAAGATAATTCCCCCCCCCCCCATAGATGTCAAAGGCACAGCGGGTGTGGAGCAGGTGACCATGCGCGGCTCCCGGCAGGTTCTTGTCCTCATGTAAACTGACCCTGAGACCACAGAACACATGCCTCTGTTCAGTCATTATCTCACATAACCCTCCAAATCATCTCTCGAGGCAGCCTTTCAGCTGCATTGGACAGATGGAAAAACCGAGGTGGAGAGAAGTCACAGGACCTGCTCAAGTCCGTGTGGCTGGGCTATGGAGGCAGGATGCAAACCCAGGCCGGCCTGACACCAGCCCTCTGCAGCACACTGTGGTCACAGGTGGATCAGCCGCTGCAGCAGGCCCCAGAGAGAGACACCACACAGACCAGGCCAGACTCCCACTCTCACGGAGATGGCGCTATCCTAACAGTCCACTCGGGTCCCTGCCTCCATCCCCAGCCCCAAAAGGAAAAGCAAAGTGAAGTCACCGCCCGTAAGCCAGGCTGAGCCCTCTATTAGCCCTGTGACCGCGACTGAAGGATTAGGCTCCTCTGAGACTCCGTTTCCTGCTCTGAAAATAAAAGGGCAGAATGGCCACTACCCTTTAGAGTGGCAGCGAGGGTTAAGTCAGTCCGGCCTGGTGACGTGCTCTGCACACCTTTTGGGACCACGGGGCAGAGGGGCTGCCGGAGGGTGGGAGGGGCCGGACCTGCGCACTCACCACCGGGGCTCTCTCCCGCAGGCGACGTCTTCATCCTGGTGTTCAGCCTGGACAACCGGGAGTCCTTCGACGAGGTCAAGCGCCTTCAGAAACAGATCCTGGAGGTCAAGTCCTGCCTGAAGAACAAGACCAAGGAGGCGGCGGAGCTGCCCATGGTCATCTGCGGCAACAAGAACGACCACGGCGAGCTATGCCGCCAGGTGCCCAGCACCGAGGCCGAGCTGCTGGTGTCGGGCGACGAGAACTGCGCCTACTTCGAGGTGTCGGCCAAGAAGAACACCAACGTGGACGAGATGTTCTACGTGCTCTTCAGCATGGCCAAGCTGCCGCACGAGATGAGCCCTGCCCTGCACCGCAAGATCTCTGTGCAGTACGGCGACGCCTTCCACCCCAGGCCCTTCTGCATGCGCCGCGTCAAGGAGATGGACGCCTACGGCATGGTCTCGCCCTTCGCCCGCCGCCCCAGCGTCAACAGCGACCTCAAGTACATCAAGGCCAAGGTCCTTCGGGAGGGCCAGGCCCGCGAGAGGGACAAGTGCACCATCCAGTGAGTGGGAGGGATGCTGGGGTGGGGCTCGGGCAGTGCCTTAAGGGAAGTGGCCCAGACGCCCGCTGCCTGCAGCCCGACCTGACCCCAGCAGCAGTTTGTTCAGAGACCTTTGGCACCACCGGAGGCCCCAGGCACAACTCGTACCCCTTCTCCTGCCTTCTTGCCGCTTCCCTCTGAGTCCTCGCGTCCGTGGCTCCCGGTGCCATGGGCTGCTCCGTGGGAGGACACAGCTCTGCAGGAAGGGAGAGAAAGTGGGAGTCAGCAGGACTCCCGCAGAGAGCCGGGTCGGAGCCTTCCAGACCTGCGGTAGGAAGGGATGCCGAGGCCAGAGAGACCAGGAATCCTGCCGCCAGCAGAACCCCCTGGAATAAGCCGTAGTATGAGACCAGCCCCTGAGAGAGGGCTGCTGGGAGAAGCCAGCTGTCTCCTGGTATAACCCCACTTTAGGGGGCAGCTGAGAGAAGCCCTCCCCTCCTGCAGTGCCGGGTCTCAGGGTCAGCTGCTCCACCCCCAGTGCCCAGCCCCCCAGCAAGTTGGCCCCAGCTGCTCCAGCATGGAGCCAGTGTTGTCCGGTGTTTGCAGGGGCCGGGCTGTGTGTCCAACCATTCCGGCCTCCTCTCCCGAGCCCTCCGTCCGACGGTTGTACTCTGTGTCCTTGCAGCTGTTTCATGTCGCGTATCGCGGTAGAAATGGAAATCACTGTACTGTAAAGGCCTAGTGACCCCTCCTCGGCCAGGCCCCCGCCCAGTTCAGCTCTGCTGCCTGCGGGGCAGCTCCTCCCTGACTCCCAGAAAGGATCCCGTGGCCTGCCTGCAACTAGACACTGACCTCCGTACCGAGCTCCAGTTTACAGACGCTGTATAGGGGCAGGCAGGCCAGGGTGGCTTCTCCTTCCTGCCCAGGGCCCAGAGGGACAACAGACCCAGAGGAGGAAGTGACGTGCCCCAGGCCTCACCCCACCCTTAGCTAGTTCAGGGCAGAGTTTGTCCTAGAACCAGGCTGTCTGCTGTGCTCATGCTCATTCTTAATCATTTATGAAGCACCTACTAGGTGCTGGGTCCACTGTGTGCTAGTAAACAAAGGGTAAGGGGTGCCTGTTCATCCCAGCTCTGGCCTCTGCCCACCCCTGCTGCCCTGCAGCCTCTGCGCATGCAGCATTGATGGTGAGGAGAAGAACTGGGAGCTTGGGAGCGATCAGGCAGAGGAGCTCACAGTGGGGCCTTTCCTTGTGCTGGGGTTGGGCTGGGACTCAGGCCTGGTGGGTGTCGAACCTGGAAACCAAAGGCCCTGTTATTAAATAGCTCTTAACTAGTAGATTTTATATGTTAATCTCCTTCAGAACATTGAAGTTTAGGGCCACAGGGACCGTGGTGATCATCTGGTGAATCCTTCTGAGTCCCAGAGAGGGTAAGTAACTTGCCCTAAGCCACAGAGCAAGCCTGAGTGGCAGGAGCAGGGCTAGTTCTGGGCCCTCAGTCCCCACCTCGGCGTGCCCCTTCCGATGCTTTTTCAGCCCTGGGGCTTTCAGGGATCTGGGCGTCTATCTCAGTGCCCTCCTAGATCGGTCTGTGAGGGCTCCTGTAGATACTGTGTACACGCGCCCCTATAGACATGTACACACACATGCGAACACACACATGGACACGTGCTCCGGCCCCAGCTCTGCACACCCGTGCCTGCAGCCCAGCCCGGCCCCTGCCTGTGTCTGTGCCTCCACCCCTGCCACTCACGGCAGCTTCTCCGCCCCGTGTCTGTCCTTCCTCATCCCAGCGTGAACTCTCTAAGCAGACCGGTACCCAGCCCCGACGGGTGTGTGGCCTGTCCTCAGCCTGTCTTGCCCCTCTGCCCTGGATCTCTGTGTATACTATCGATTAAAGTGGGTTTGTTACAAAGCTGTGTCCTTGACCGCGTGTATTTTCTGGATTCCAAGAGGAGGTGCCTCCTTCCAACCAGAGCTGGCCTCTGCCTCCCCAGGTCGCACCTGCCTGGAACTCTTGCCCTGCGACGGGTCAGCATGGGGTCAGTCCTCCAGTTCACACAGGGTGGGGAAAAGTGTTCCATGATGGGAGGCCGTCCCCCCACAGGCCCTCTGGGTGTGATGTCGAGTTGTCCATGTACTCTGGGGAGCGGCCGGGCTGGGAATGAGAGGCCCCGGGTGACAGCTCCACCAGGCGCCTCCTGTCTGAGTCCACAATTCTGTAGACCCAGGGGCATTTGGAGATGCCTGGAAATTTCCTTTAAAAAAAAGTTTATTTCTTGAGAGAGACAGGCACCCGTGACACCTGTGCCACTGTGGCTGGGCCAGCATTTAATTTTAGAGATATTTTAGAGTCTTTTGCCTTAGGGTACAAGTGCTTGCCGGAGAGAGAGAGATAGAGACTGAGAGGGAAAGGTAGAAATCACCCCCCAGGAGGGATGGCCATGTTGCAATCCCTTCTCCATCCTCCTCCCTGGATCATGCGCATGTGCCTGGCATGAGTTTCAAGCCACTGGGTCCGGGACTTGGGCCGCAGCTGGTCATGTGGGCGTTCAGTGACGTAACCATCACACCATCTGCGGGTTCCGGGTTTTTGTCAAGATGGGTGCTACCAGCATCTGGCGGGCAGAGGCCAGGGCTGTGACCCAGTGTCCTCGAGTACACGGGACAGGACCCACGTGTCGGCCGTGGGCACTGAGACTGTGGGCTCTCGTGGTCGGGATGCACCTACGTCCGTGGGTGGCTGACACACAGGACGGCTTTCTGGACGGCACTCAGTGAACACTGGACAGGCAGTGAGTGCCCCGTGAAAGGTGACAGGACCTGGGTGAGGTGGCAGGAGGGTGCAGAGGGAGGTTATGGTCCCGAAGAGCATCTGCAGTTTCCCATGGGTGGAGGGAAGGGAAGGGAAGGGAGTCTGTGAGCACCTACTGTGCGCCCCACGCGGCATAGCTCACACCTTCCTCCTGTCACTCAGCCTGTGAGGACTGACTCCTCATCACCCCGCTGCGGAAGGAGGGCTCAGACTTAGAGAGCACAACATCTTGTCCGAGGTGCCCAGCTAATGACGTGCGGATGGGGCATTCACACCCTGAGGCTCTTTCCTCCACTGGGCCAGGAAAGGACTCTGCTTCTGGCAGACAGAGACGGGTCTGTTCTTCGGATCAGCAAAGGCACCAAGAGGGAGTGGTGGGCAAGGTCCCTGCCACCGGGAGATCACAGCCCGGCAGACACAAGCCCTGCGTGGACATCATGACACCACGAGAGCCTGGCTGTGGTGCAGTCAAGCCCAGGCAGGGCCGGGGCACAGGGAACTGCGGGGCGGGCTCCCGATCCTGCTCTCCTCCAACCCTCGGCCCACACCAGCCACAGAAAGTCAGTGAGGAGACGAGCCCACAGGACGCGTTGTAGGTCCTGCTCTCTGTAAGCACCCACCTTCGCGACAGACGCTCCCCTCTGCCTTGAAGTCAGGGCTGTACCTGTTGGAGCTGGCCCCCTGCGGCCACCCCCTGCCTCCACGGGGGCTGCAAATATGTCACGCCCTCACCCGGGGCCTTCCTTTCTTTCTCTCTAGGAGGAGGGGGCTGGACCAGATATACACCTCCAGCCCCTCGCCGCCCCGACATTCTCTGCAAGAAGGAATTAATAATCCTCTTACATAACCCACAGCATTCCGATCGTTACTAAACAGAACACGCTCGCTCCATCTCCAGCCTCAGCCCTGCTGCTCCTTACACCCCACGGTTCTTGCCTTGGAAAGGGGTTAACAGCAACCAGCAGCGGCACAGGAGAAAGGCTTTCCCAGCAAATGTCCTCTCAGCCCTGGGCAGAAGGCTACAGCTGGAGAATTCCCTCTAGGTCAGACCTTCTGAGACAAGCCCAGGAGAGCCAGCCTAATCCCCACACTAGACAGGGAGTGCGGAGGATCTGGTTTCAGAGAATTCTGTGCTGCCAACTTGAAGTGCTTATTCGGTTCTGCCTCCCTGAACCTGTCACTCAAAAGAAAAACTTCGGTCTTCAGTCTGCGTCACAGCTTGGAGGGGGCTGATGGGAGGACTGCCAGGGGCTCAGCAACAAAGGCTGCTGGGAGTGGGGGAGGGAGAGGCAGCTGGTCATTGCTACTGGTCTGCCATGCCCCCAAGCGCTGTGTTGGCCTTTCACCTGTGTCCTCTGTTTTTTGTTGTTGGTGGTGGTTGTTTTTTTGTTTTTTTGGTTTTTTTTTTTTTTGGTACAGGTTTTCGCTATAGGGCGCGTGCGCTCCCCAGAAAGACTCGCTATAGGGCGCGTGCGCTCGCCAGAAAGACAGAGAGAGACAGAGAGACAGAAAGCGAGAAATCACCCCCCAGGGGAGATGGCCATGCCACAATTCCTTCTCCTCCATTCTCCTCTCAGGATCAGACACGCATGGACACACACCTGGCATGAGTTTAAGCTACCGGGTCTGGGACTCGAACCGTGGTTGACTACATGGGAGTCCAGCGATATAGCCATTACGCCAACTGCTGGTCCTGCACCTGTGTCCTCTTACTGGCTCCTGATGTCAGAGCTATGTGGAAGGTCTCTCTCCCTCTTCCTCCCCTCTTTCTCTCTTGCATGCACAGGCATGTGCTTGTCCATATGCGCACACAGTCTCTTACAAAAGAAATAAAATACACTTTTTGAAAAGTTATGTGGAAGGACTGTGAACCCTTTTTTCTAAAAGAGAATGGAGGCTGAGAGAGGTAAAGTCACTTGCCTGAGGTTGCACAGCCAGTGAGTGGCAGAGCTGGGCTAGAATCCATGTCTGAGTCCTAAGCACATTTCGCTCTCGGCCTTGCTTGGCCCAGCTGGCTGAGGGCTGCTCTCTGAAGGGAGAGGCCAGCAGAACTCGGAGAACTGGCTCAGAGAGCTCAGGAGGTAGGACACTGCCCCCAGTCAACGGCTGAGCCCCTGGAGCAGGCGGCTAGACTTCACGGAGTAGCTGCTCTGCCCCACATGGTCATTCAGGCAGCCAGGCTCCTTGTGTCTTCAGGCCCCTCCATCTCTCTGACTGTCACCATCTGCAGGGTCGGAGCCATTTCCGGTTTAGCTGGACGG